CCGGAGACTGGGTCGGAGACCGGGCCGGGACCGGACCGGTGACCGGGCCGAAGACCGGCGACCGGGCCGGGGACCGTGTCGGAGACCGGGCCGGGACCGGGCGCTGGCCCAAAAAAGATGCAAAGCTTTTGTGAGCCACCCGAAGGTAAAAATTTAGAGGAAGCAGAAGTCATGGAATCCGTTGCAAATTTTTGGTGAGTTTCAACTTGACTCACCCTTTATGTGGGCAATGCAGGGGTAAAATTGAGAGAAGGATGTTGTCCGGCCAAGTTGAGTCACCCTTTGGTGGGCCATGCAGGGGTAAAATTCAGAGAAGGATGTTGCCATTTCAACTTGACTCACCCCTTTGTGTCGGCAATGCAGGGGAAATTTTAAAAGGAAGTGGGCAACGCAGGGGTAAAATGTAAAGAAGGAAGTTGCCCTTCCAAGTGGACTCACCCCTTTGTGTGGGCAAGGCAGGAGTAAAGTTTAGAGAAGGAAGTGGTCATTCCAACTTGACTCACCCTTTCCTGGGCAATGCAGGGACAAAATTTAACGCAGGATGCTGCCATTCCAACTATTTTGTGGGCAATGCAAGGTAAAATTGAGAGAAGGATGTTGCCATTTCAACTTGACTCGTCCCTTTGCGTGGGCAATGCAAGGGTAAAAATTAGAGAAGGAAGTGGTCATTCCAACTTGACTCACCCTTTTGTGGGCAATGCAAGGGTAAACTTTAGAGAAGGATGCTGCCATTTCAACTTGACTCACCCCTTTGCGCGGGCAAGCAGGGGTAGAATTTAGAAGGAAGTGGTCATTCCAACTTGACGTGCCGCTTTGTGGGCAATACAAGGGCAAAATTTAGAGAAGGATGTTGCCATTTCAACTTGACCCACCCCTTTGTGTGGGACACGCAGTGACCAAATTTAAAGAAGAAAGTGGTCATTCCAACTTGACGTACCCTTTTGTGGGCAACGCACGGGTAAGATTTAGATAAGGATGTTGCCATTTCAACTTGACTCACCCCTTTGTGTGGGCAACGCAGGGGTAAAATGTATAGAAGGAAGTTGCCCTTCCAAGTTGACGCGCCCTTTGGTAAGCCACCCGAGGGTTAAATTTAGAGAAGGAAGTTGCCCTTCCAAGTTGACGCACCCTGTGGTAAGCCACCCGGGAGTAAAATTTAGAGAAGGACGTTGCCATTCCAACTGGACTCACCCCTTTATGTGGGCAATGCAGGGGCAAAATTTAGACAAGGAAATGGCCCTTCCAACTTCACTCACCCTTTTGTCGCCCATGCAGGGGTAAAATTTAGAGAAGGATGTTGCCCTCCCAAGTTGACTCACCCTTTGGTGGGCCATGCAGGGGTAAAATTTAGAGAAGGATGTTGCCATGTGAACTTGGCTCACCCCTTTGTGTGGGCAATGCAGAGCAACATGTAGAGAAGGAAGTGGTCATTCCAACTTGACTCACCCTTTTGTGGGCAAGGCAGGGGGAAAATTTAGACAAGGATGTTGCCATTCCAACTCGACGCACCCCTTTCTGTCGGCAATGCAGGGATAAAAATTAGATAAGGAAGTGGTCATTCCAACTTGACTCACCCTTTTGTGGGCAATGCAAGGGTAAATTTTAGAGATGTTGCCATTCCAAGTTGACTCACCCAACTTGACTCACCCGTTTATGTGGGCAATGCAGGGGTAAAATTAAGAGAAGGAAGTGGTCACTCCAACTTGACTTACTCTTTTGTGGGCAATGCAGGGGTAACATTTAGAGAAGGATGTCGCCTGTCCAACTTGACTCACCCCTTTATGTGGGCAACGCAGTGGAAACATTTAGACAAGGAAGTGGCCCTTCCAACTTCACTCACCCTTTTCTGGGCCATGCAGGTGTAAAATTTAGACAAGGATGTTGCCCAAGTTGACTCACCCTTTGGTGGGCCATGCAGGGGTAAATTTTAGAAAAGGAGGTTGCCATTTCAATTTGACTTACCCCTTTGTCACCCTTTTGTGGGCAATGCAGGGGTAAAATGTAAAGAAGGAAGGGGCCCTCAACTTGACCCACCCTTTTGTGGGCCATGCAAGGGCAACGCAGGGGTAGAATTTAGAGAAGGATGTTGCTTTTTCAACTTGACTCACCCCTTTGTGTGGGCAATGCAGGGGTCAATTTACAGAAGGAAGTGGTCATTCCAACTTGACGCACCCTTTTGTGGGCCATGCAGAGGTAGAATTTAGAGAAAGATGTAGCCGTTTCAACTTGGCTCACCCCCGTGTGGGAAATGCAGGGGTAAAATTTACAGAAGGAAGTTACCCTTCCAAGTTGACGCGCGCTTTGATGAGCCACCCGAGGAGACAATTTACAGAAGGATGTTGCCACTTCAACTTGACTCACCCTTTATGCGGGCAAAGCAGGGGTAAAATTTAGACAAGGAAGTGGCCCTTCCAACTTGACTCACCCTTTTGTGGGCCATGCAGGGGTAAAATTTAGAGAAGGATTTTGTCCTTCCAAGTTGAGCCACCCTTTGGTGGGCCATGCAGGGGACAAAATTCAGAGAAGGATGTTGCCATTTCAACTTGACTCACCCCTGCGTTGCCGGGTAAAATTTAGAAGGAAGCGGTCATTCCAACTTGGCTCACCCTTTTGTGGGCAACGCAGGGGTAAAAAAATGAATGATGTTGCCATTTCACCTTGACTGACCCCATTGTGTGGGCAATGCAGGGGCAAAATTTAAAGAAGGAAGTGGCCCTTCCAAGTTGACGCGCCCCTTGGTGAGCCACCCGAGGATAAAATTTAGAGAAGGATGTTGCCACTTCAACTTGACTCACCCCTTTGTGTGGGCAATGCAGGGGCTAAATCTAGAGAAGGAAGTGGTCATTCCAACTTGACTCACCCTTTTGTGGGCAATGCAGGGGGAAAATTTAGAGAAGGATGTTGCCATTCCAACTTGACTGACCCCTTTCTGTAGGCACTGCAGGGGTTAAATTTAGATAAAGAAGTGGTCATTCCAACTTGACTCACCCTTTATGCTGGCAATGCAATGGGAAAATTTCAAGAAGGATGTTGCCATTCCAACTTGACTCACCCCTGTATGTTGACCATGCAGGGGTGAAATTTAGAAAAGGATGTTGCCATTCCAACTTGACTCACACCTTTGCGTGGGCAATGCAGGGGTAAAATTTAGAGAAGGAAGTGGCCCTTCCAACTTGACTCACCCTTTTGTGGGCCATGCAGGGGTAAAATTTAGAGAAGGGTGTTGCCCTTCCAACTTGACGCACCCTTTGGTGGGCAATGCAGGGGCAAAATTTAAAGAAGGAAGTGGCCCTTCCAAGTTGACGCGCCCCTTGGTGAGCCACCCGAGGATAAAATTTAGAGAAGGATGTTGCCACTTCAACTTGACTGACCCCTTTCTGCAGGCAATGCAGGAGTAAAATTTAGATAAAGAAGTAGTCATTCCAACTTGACTCACCCTTTTGTGGGCAATGCAAGGTTAAATTTTAGAGAAGGCTGTTGCCATTCCAAGTTGACTCACCCAACTGGACTCACCCGTTTATGTGGGCAATGCAGGGGTAACATTTAGAGAAGGAAGTGGTCACTCCAAAATGACTTACTCTTTTGTGGGCAATGCAGGGGAACAATTTAGACAAGGAAGTGGCCCTTCCAACTTCACTCACCCTTTTGTGGGCCATGCAGGGGTAAAATTTAGAGAAGGATGTTGCCCAAGTTGACTCACCCTTTGGTGGGCCATGCAGGGCTAAAATTTAGAGAAGGATGTTGTTGCCATTTCAACTTCACTTACCCCTAAAAAGTGGCAATGCAGGGGTAAAATTTAGAGAAAGGAGTGGTCATTCCAACTTCACTCACCCTCTTGTGGGCAATGCAAAGCTAAAATTTAGAGAAAGATGTTGCTATTTCAACTTGACCCAGCCCTTTGTGTGGGAAATGCAGGGGTAAATTTAGACAAGGAAGTGGTAATGCCAAGTTGCCTCAGCCTTTTGTGTTAGAGAAGGATGTTGCCATTCCAACTTGACTCACCCTTTTGTGGGCAAGGCAGGCGTAAAATTTAGAGAAGGATGTTGTTGCAACTTGACTCACGCTTTTGTGGGCAGGGCAGGGGGAAAGTTTCGAGAAGGAAGTGGTCAGTCCAAGTTGACTCACCCTTTGGTGAGGCAGTGGAGGGTAAAATTTAGAGGAGGATGTGGCCACTCCAAGTTGACTCACCCTGTGGTGCTCCACCCGACAGTAAAATTTAGAGAAGGATGTTGCCATTTCAACTTGACTCACCCTTTTGTGGGCAATGCAGGGGTAAAATTTAGAGAAGGAAGTGGCCCTCAAATTGACTCACCCGTTTGTGGGCCATGCAAGGGCAACGCAGGAGTAGAATTTAGAGAAGGATGTTGCCTTTTCAACTTGATTCAATCCTTTGTGTGGGCAATGCAGGGGTAAATTTTAGACAAGGAAGTGGTCATTCCAACTTGACGCACCCTTTTGTGGGCCATGCAGGGGTAGAATTTAGAGAAAGATGTAGCCGTTTCAACTTGACTCACCCCTGTGTGGCAAATGCAGGGGAAAATTTAGAGAAGGAAGTTGCCCTTCCAAGTTGACGCGCCCCTTGGTGAGCCACCCGAGGAAAAAATTTAGAAGGATGTTGCCACTTCAACTTGACGCACCCCTTTGTGTGGGCAATGCAGGGGCTAAATCTAGAGAAGGAAGTGGTCATTCCAACTTGACTCACCCTTTTGTGGGCAATGCAGGGGGAACATTTAGAGAAGGATGTTGCCGTTCCAACTTGACTGACCCCTTTCTGT